AAAAAAAAAAAAAGAAAAAGAAAAGAAGCTCATCCTTATCCAATTTCTTTCCCCTTTTAAGCCCCTCACTTTTGAAATTTTGGCAATTAAGCCCAAAACAATAGTTTTCCACAATTTAGTCCTTAACTTAAATGATAAAATTCCCGAAAATTTGGGATATTACAATTACGTAATGTTCTTTCAGAACCATAAGCAAGTAAATTTGATTTTTTTTGTGTAAGATTATCCACTTCGGCATGCAAACATTCGGAATAATATGGTTGAAAACGAGAGTATAACAAATCGAAGATGAGATAAGGAAAACAATGGAAAAGCTGCAGGTGGGTATATATTGGGACCAAAACTAGTCTGTATACATATATACGGACCAGGGTCGATCAGTATATATGTCTGAAAAAGTTTTTTTAATTATAAAGATAAATTAAATTCGGTGTAAAGATATATACAGACCGGTTTCGGTCGGAATAGAAGCACAAAATGTAGAAGCTTCTAGGCCTTTATATTTTCAAACCATTGTTGGTCCGAATATGATGCAAAAAATCCAGAACCTTCAACCTGTGCACCTTTTTATTCTTTTCATTTAAGGACATCACCATCTTCCCGTGCCCCAAATCCGTTCTTACAAAAACCAATTGCGTAAACATCGACACTACAATCTCTTGGAACCCCGGAATCATCGATTCTATGCCTGAAATTATTAACGATAACGCGGGATAGAATCGTTGTAAAACCTTGAAATGTATAAGTATAAGGTTATTAGATATAAGGTTACGTAATGTTCTCTAAGAGCCACAAGCAAGTTAATTTGATTTTTTTGTGTAAGGTTATCCACTTTGGCACGCAAACATTCGAAATGTTATGATTGAAAACGAGAGTATAACAAATTGAGGATGAAGTAAGGTAAACAATGGAAAAGCTGCAAGTAGGTATATATTGGGACCAAAATCGATCCGTATATTTATATACGGATCGATATCGGTCGTATATACGTCTGTGTATATTATAAAATAAATATATAGATCAATAACGGCAGGTATATACAAATGAGGGTGTGTTGGGCTACGGGTATTTACAGACCAATACCAGTCCGTATATGTTAACCGTGACATATCGGTCCGTATATACTACTTTGGGGTTGAGCCGGCTGGAGAATAAGAGCCAGCTAATGCCGAATGCCTCGAACATTCTATTTTTTGGACTAAGTCGGCTATAAAAATTTTGCACCGGCTTAACTAGCTTTGATTTTTTACAGGTTATATTCGGACCGTTGTCGGTCCGTATAAAATGGTGAGCCGACTAGGCGATTAAAGCCAGCTGGTGCTACATTGTCTCGAACATTCTATTTTTTTGGACTGAGCCGGTTGTGGGTGTTTTGCAACCGGCTTTGCTTCCCTTGATTTATAAGGACTAGGATCAGTCCGTATATGCTTGTTTCTGCCACCAGTCAATCAGCCATTTGTGTGTTTATTGCGATTGTTATCCTAATTGAAACCGATCTATGTATGAGTATTCATTTAATTCGATATTTCTTACATATAAAGTATTTAATTGATATTTAAATTAATATATTTGATATTACAAAATTATTTTGACATATTTTATTATATTTATCATATAAAATGTTAAAAAATTTTGTTAATTTACTCTAAATATATAAGTTTCCAATGTCTACTACAAATATAAAGTAAATACAATATATAATTTAAATATAAAAAACCTAAATATCTCGAGATGTCCTAGGGGTGACTGTCCCACTGGTATCCATTGGGGTCATCCCTAAATGCTGGTAAAGTTGCTGCAGCTGTATAGCAAGGGTCATCTGTTGCTACCGTAGGCTCTCATTATTTGCTATAAGGGTCATCTGTGATTGTCAAAGGCTATTATTATCAGCCTTCAATGCTTCAACAGTTTGGTCTAATTTGATAACCATATTAGACTGTCCTATAATGGGTGGCCTGAATGGTTCCCGTCTAGATGTGCTCACACCTATATCATGTGAATGTGTGTGAATATCCAAACCTTTCAGCCATCCTTCTTGCTCTTTCTTAGCAACATATTCAGCTGTCAATTTTTCCTAAAATAATATAAGACAAAATAAATAATTAATTGTATTGAAAATTCAAGTGTAATTTAAAATTTCACTTTAGGCACTTAAATTCAATTTACTCTCCCCTAAAAGGATGAAGTTCTAACTTTTTACCAATAACTATATTGTACAATAATTTCGATATTATAGCCAAAATAATTTCCATTAATTCATGACACAATTTAAAGTAAAATTGTTAAGCTAAATACTTACTGCAATTTCTTGAGCCTCATCATTACAATATACAGGCACTTGGTCTTTTCCTTTTCTTTTGCGCTGCCTTCTACTAGTGTAGACCTCAAGAAATGTCGATAGACGACCCTCGGGGTTTGCTTGTTACTATAACGAAAAAAAAAAAAAGAAGAGAAAATATTAAAATAATCAATATAAAATAAATTATAAATCATAATTCATTAATTATTCATTAAAAATATGTGAACTGTTATACCATTTTCTTTCTATAAACATTAACGTCCATTGAACCGTTGGTATGTGTCACCCTCGGTCCTTTTGCTCGATTACCCTTTGTAGAACTTGACCTTCTCAAATGACCCTCGTCCTGTAAAAGTGGTGAACACATATATTTTCTTAATTAATAATATGACAAAAACATTAAACATTACAATTGAAAATTAAAAATAAATAATAATAAACATATGAATTTACTCCACTACCTCAGCCCATAAATAAACAAGCCTCGTCCATAACTTTGGATTCATATAAAGAGGATTAACTTGAAAGTTTCTCTTTGCACACTTAGCTTTCAACTCACTAAGTGCATGCTTGAACTTGATCCTTGCTGTCACGTTCCATAAATCCTCTACAGTCTTATGAATCGTAGGATCCCATTCATATGTTTGCTAAAAATAATAGAAATATAAATAAATAATTTAACAACAAAAATATTAATGATAATAACAAAAAAATTCAAATTACTTAAAATTTAAAGATAGAAATTGAAAATATCTAATTTGTAGATAGAAATTAAGTGTTTAGGGCATACACTGAATATATTCCAATGCATGTCTCGATGCTCACAATGGACCTGTCCCCACAATGTGTAAGCATCTGGGAGATTCTCCCACAACTAAACTACAATCTGTCATCTGACCTGTTGTGGCAAACCTCCATACTCATCTAGCCCTAATGGGATCTTCATCCCATCTGTAGGCATCTGCACGAGCTTAGCTTGCCCCCATCCTTGCCTCTGCTGAGGGGTAGCCACAGGTGTATCCTCATCACTGGGAGACTCGACCTGTATATCAGCATTTGAAGCTGAAGTCTCCAGAACCACATTAGTAGGAACCTCCTCCTGAACTCGTCTTTGGGGGTCAAATGGATTTAGCTGTTGCAACGGTTGGGTGGATTCAACAACCTTTGTGCAGTGAGAACTACAACAATCAACTGTAAAAAAAATATAACAAATGCAAAATAAATCATTAATACAAGTAATTTAAATGCAATAAATAAATTACTATTAATATCACAATAAAAATTA